CATACAATTAATGTATTGTTTATCAATTTAATCTAAAATGTTAAATCTATTAATAAATAAATATTATTTTATAAGTTAAATTTAAATTTTAAGTTTAAAAATTAATATTTAAAGAAATTAATTTTTCAAAGGTACCCCTTAACATCATCCAAAAAAAAAGATTAATCTCTAGAAATATAAAAGCTGATCCGATGACAACTTGACTATTAAAACCAAAACATATGTTTTTGCTTACTATAATTTTCAATAAAATTAATATGTAGGCTAATCAAGTTAACAACTTTCTGCATGGGAATAAGGGGCAATCTAACCTATTTACATCAAACTCCACTACGCATGTACATTCAACCAATTCAATAAGTAGCAAAACAGAACATAATGGCTCTATAACTCTATCTAGGTTCTTGCCCCATGAAAACTGTTAATATTAGAAAACTGAAAAACAAGGAAAAAAAAAAACTCATAAAAAGTCCATATTTCATCTATATTATAGGAAAAAGAAAAATAAAAATTGCAAACACAACCTAGTTAAAACATCAGAGTCTTTGCAACCAATCAAAAATACAAAGTTAAAAAAGCAAAGGATGATCCACTGCATATGTGCATACTTGTTTTGATTGATGACAGTCATGGCTACCAGCAGCAGCATAATGATTCATGAAGGAAGAGGACGGAAGGAAGTCCCTGGCAATAGCAACAAAAGACAATAGAGAGATAGGTGAATTAAATTATTGCAACATAAATCCTAGTAGTGTTGTTAATTTCTTAGAGAATTAAACGTTTAAGAACAAAATTAATATATCAATCCAAGATTATTGCATCAAATTAAATTAATCCAACATATTTTAATTTTCAATACAAATATTAACTTAGTTATGTACCTGCTCGAATTGCTTTGGTGGATGGAGTCAGCAATTTCTCCTTATGTGTCTTATTTGAATTGAACGCACTTGCTAGACTTTGTAGGAATTGTAATTGCAACAAACCAGGCAATTTCTTTCGGTCCAAGTTTTGTCTCCGCGATGACCTAGAAACCCGAAGGTAGATTTTTTTGATAGACATTCCGATACTTAAGTCAACAATAGTCTGATTTACCTTTAAGAACTATGAAAAAAAAAAAAACTTTTAGTCTATTTCAATTATCTTTT